AGCGCGGGGCGGGGTGGCACTGACAGTGCCTGGGTTTTCACCAGAAAAGAAACCAAAACCGGTCTGCTCTTCCCCTTTTGTTTCGCAATACCATCCGCCAGTCTGTGCAGCTGCCAAGCTCTCCCTCTGCATCCTGGATGGAGGGATGGAGGGAGGTGCAGATGGCGGGAGAGAAGAAATGAACAGAAGCTGAGTCAGTTTAGAGCCAGGAAATGGGGGAGGAGTAGACGGCCGTGGTCTTTTTTTAAATGGAAGGCGAACGTGTTTCACACGCCAGGCCCAACTGCGTGGCGACTACGGCAATAATTTATTCCAATCGTCCCTTTTGATTGCGTTTTATTTAATTTTCAGGCAGAGGGCAGCTGAATGCTGTTTAAAGCATCCGTCTTCCATCTGCTTACCCAGGACAGGGACGCTGGGGGGCTGGCACCTATCCCATGCAGCATCAGGCCTGGGGAAGGGGCAGGGGTATACCCTGGACTGGATACCAGTCCACTGCAGGGCACATACTTACAGACCCAATCACATGCTATTTTAGAGACCTAGCCGCATGTCTCTGAGGGTGCTGGAGAGCCCGGGGAAGCCCAGGAAATGGGGGGCAGGGGGTGGAGGTGGAATTCACCCTCCCCCCCCCCAAACTCTGGAGGTGTGAGTCAAAACAGCTACGAACTGAGCAGTTGTTCCGCCACCAAAGGGTGTAGTTTAAAAGTTTAGGGCCGATATTATTTTCAGAGATTAAGATTTAAGTTTGTTTGCTTCTAAGCATTCTGATTATCATCTGCAAGATTTACTTGGATATTAAAAAAGAGAAAATCTGTGGACTGGCTTATTCCGTGGGGGTGAGTAAGCTGTTCACCGGTGATGTTCCCCAGTTTCGGCGCGTGGTGCAGAGCAGCTCACAGGTTCGGTTCAAGGGCCGCTTGGTACTCTGTGTTGGTCTCTGTTGGCTGTTTGCTTAAAGCCAGACCCAGGCTGGTATTGGGTCCCGGGTTTAAACGGTGTGTCATGTTCTGTCGATGGTCGTACCTGTACACTGTTAATAGGTCTCTCAGGTTATCGAAGGACACTGAGCTCTTTATTTCATTATTTCTGTACTATAGGCTGTTGTGTGGATCCTTTTGTCTGTTATGGTGAAGTCTAGACTTGTGTGAATGTGGGAGATGCGTCGGTAAAGGGGAGGTGCTGGGGGGGGGGGGGGTATACCAGGAGGGAAAGGCAGATAAGCGAGCCCACAATTTAGTGTGGGGGAGGGGTGGGGGGGCAGGGCCCGAGGGGTGAAAAGGAAGGAAAGAGACAGGGAGGGGTGGAAAGGTTGTGTGTGTGTGTGTGTGTGTGTGTGTGTGGGAGAGCAGTTAGGGAGAAAAGGAGGGCTGAGCGAGAAAGAGAGAGAGCGAGAGAGTGAGCGTGCGAGAGAGAGGGAGGGGTTGACGAGTGCGCAAGAGCAAGTGAGCAAGATCGGGAGGGGAAGGGGTGGGTTTAAAATATCCTCCACGAGGAAGCGGAAGAAAGCCATATTTGCTGGTGTGGAGCTGCACGCCACTCTTTGTGTGTGTGTGTATGTGTGAGAGAGAGGGAGAGAGAGAAACGCTCTGCCTGGTTCTTACTGGGCCGTTCTCGCCTATCTTCCCTCTTTCTGTCTCTCTCTACCCCCCACCCCCCTACCGTGTGTGTCTGTGTGTTTCTGTGGGAGCGAGCGAGCGGGGGGCCCGGGGATGGGCGCACAATGGGGCCGGCCTGTGGAGACGGGGCGGGCGACTCACTGAGGGGGGGAGGGGCGCAGCGGAGGCTGCTCCACACGGCCAGCGCAGCCTGCCTGCCGCGGCTCCCTCCCAGCCTCGGGGGCTCCACTCTGGGCTCTGGCCTCCAGAACTACCCCCTGGCCTGGACTGTGGATTAAAGTACGCTTTGGCTCACCGGGGCCCGGGAACGGAGCTGTCTGGAAACTAGGCGAGTTGGACTGGAAGGGGACCAAACTTCTGTCGCCTGATTCGTCGCTGCTGGTTCTGGTGGATTTGTTTCCTTTTGATAAACTCCTAAATGGATTACAGGATGCACGCCAAGTCAAGCGACGTGCTGGATTTCCAAACCCTGGATGCCCTTTTGGAAAAAATTGCTCGTTACTCGGTCCCAGTGAAAAGGTAATAGACCAGAGCTTTAAAACGTTTGCGTACATGTCGCGTCTCAGCCATATGCAGTGTCTTTATTTTGCGCGCCGTCGGGTTCAAAGTCCGCCAGCGTTTGCACTGAAGTTTTCTCAACTCTGTGTCCGTGTAAACGCAGCGAGATCCGCGCGTGACGCTAACCTCTGGCTAATCGCGATGCCTCCGGAGCCATTTGTGGCCATTCCTTACCATTGTAGCGAAAGCAGAGTGTTTCGCAAACGTAGTCGTTTGCTGGGCAGAGACTGTATTGTTATCTGCAGAGGAGCCAGATCTTTCCTGGGCTGGTGTCCTGGTTGGGGGGGGAGGGTGGGGGGCTGTTTAGAGGCACAAGGACTGGGTGTACTCATCACAGTAGATAGGGCAGCTCTCCCGACCAGGTTCCGGGTCTCGCTCTCCTCCCCGAGGGTCTGTTGGCGTTTAGCGGGCCGTGACACGCACGCTGCTCTCAGCTGCTTTGCTGCCTCACACTTCCTTCATGGCCGCCTTTGTTTCTGGCTCAAACCGAGTAAAATCACACGTCGTCCGTTTCCTCCTTGTGAAAGTCCCTCCTCGGAGGCGCTCAGAACTGCTTGCCGTCGATGTCTATGTTAACGTAAATGAGAAATTCCGAGAAAATGTCACTCATTGGTCATCTGCTTTAAAACATCTGGTTTAAAAAAAAAAAAGTCTTGGCAATACAGTGGTATGTAGCATGTTTATTGCTTGGGATTAATAGCCGTAGCTATTAATTATTCTGAGGGCCTGTTTTTCTAGCGAAATGTCTGTTTTCAGCATATAGATCAGTGTTTCCCAATTCAGTCCCTGGAGACCCACAGTTGGTCCATGTTTTTGCTCCCTCCCAGCTCCCTGCCAGACAGTCCACATTTTTGCTCCCTCCCAGCTCCCGGTAGAGCAAAAACATGAACTGTCTGTGGGTCCCCGAGGACCGGATTGAGAAACACTGGTATATATGTACAGAAGGATAACAGGAAGACCCCCTTGTTGAATCAGCAGCCTTTTCCATGTACCGGTCCACACCCCCCACTGCTGAAGGAGGAGAAATGTGCTGCTCTGAGGCTCCCCACCCAGTCCCTCACCTCCCAGTGACACATCTACCTCATTGTGAAGTGTTTGGAGATCATTCTTCAAGGATTAGTCTGTCCAGTCTGAGTCAGCGCATGGAGAGGTCTCTCCTCCTTCCTTCACTTGGATTGTGTTGTCTGAGTTGCTCCGAGAGATTTGTCCTCTGGTTCATGTGAGGCCGGCGAGTGAGGAAGACGAGGTGCTGCCCTTAACGTGAGGAAGGAATAGCTGGGAGGAGGATGTACATGCCAGGAAGCCCCCCCCCCCGTCCCCCTTGATGACCCTCCTCTCTGCCTGTCGGCACATGTCGCCCCAGAGTTTACAGAACTGAAGGGATGGGGGCGGCGGATCAGCATACTCCTCCTCTGAACGCTTCACGGCTGCCCCCCACCCGCAGCAGTTCCTGTCCTCTGGACCCCCCACCTTCGGCAGATGGCTTCACATCTGTGAGGATGGCGCTAACCTGCGTGCGCGCGGGGGGGGGTGGGGGGGGTGTTGCCAGTGTTCTGACCTCACAAGATCACGTCCGTTCTCTGCCTGTCTGCCTGCTGGTTTCCCGGTTCTCCTCGCTCCGCTCGCGTATATTTTTAGCCAGTGAGTTCAGGAGTTATATTTTGGCTAGAGGTGGCCTCGGGCTTGAGGCTGCCGTTCAGGTCCGTCTTGAACAAAGTATCCTGTGACCTGGGATTGGAGGAGGAGAGTCGTTCAGAGCTGCTGCTATTCACCACATAGCTTTGGGCTTTCTAACAGCCGGTGGGGGTGGGGATGCCGTGGACTGTTTGGACCTGACTTGGGACTGTTTTTTTCTATACTTAGGAGTCAGCGTTCTTTAAAATTTGTTTCCTTCCAATTTATGTGATGGTATCACTTGTGTGTCAAGTGATAGAAGGTTCATTTTTCTCTAGGTGTTTGAAAGGCCTTAGATACCTGCCCTCTGCTGAATGTAACATGCTGATTAGGGTCATGCTGTGATGCCTCCAGCGCCTGGCCCTTGATGTCTTCCCCTGCCCAAACCAAGTTATGAGTGTAGGACTGATGTGAGGAGTGGAAAGCCCTGGGCCCTGCCTACTTGCAGACTTGCTCGCATTACTGGATAGATATTTATGTTGCTTCTCATAATGTGAAGGTTCCCTCACTGAAATTTCCCCTAAACTGCTGGTAGCTGCTGGTCCCGCAGGCTAGCAGCTCCCCTGACCTTAAGGTCATGGGCTTCACAGTGCTGAGGGGTGGGGGGGATTTCCCCTTCTCTTGTGTGGGACATCCTGCACCAATGCTGGTAACCAGCCGATGACCCCACTGTCTTGACAATAGTCACTTTCCAGCCATTAAGTAATAAGCACACACCTTAATCAGAACCAGAATGTGGGCTGCAGTATCATCCTTTCTGATTGAATGGTGTAAAGGCAGAAGCTCAGGAAATGTGGCACAATTTCCCATAAAACAGCATGCTGTGATCAGATTCTCAAGAAATCAGAGAATCCGTCTCATTTATTCCACGTCTCTTATCTAACTGAAGGCTGTATTCTGGAGTTTTTCTCCTTAAAATGAAACTATCATTGATTCTTAGTGGTTTACTCGGCTTATCAAGCCACTTTTACAGTTCAGAGTGAACTATTTGAACCAGTGGTTTTCAGATATTCTCCATCTGCAGTAGGTCAGCCCTCCCACCTGCCTGTTCTGTCACTACTCTTCAGACTGGTAGTCCAGTGCTCTGCTGGAGGCCCTGATAGGTGTTGTGGCATACCTCGGCCCCCGTTCTCATGTATGTGCAGAGACGCATGCACGTGTAAACATGCGTCACACTGATACTGGGTTCGGAGTGTTTGATCTCAGGATGGCTCACGAAAGGTACCAAAGACAGATGAAAGAATTGCCGTTTATTGTCCCAGAATGTGTGGTTCACAGACTCCCGAACACCTTCTCCGACCTGTGGCAGCCATGCCTGCTGCAGATGACAGAACTTGAGATGGAGAGTCCCTTCAGTGCCTTGTGGCTTTGCCTTATTCAGGAGGGGATCGATGGACCCTTAAGGAGTTTCATGTCCTCCCCCGGCCTTTACGATTCTGTCCCCGACATCCACTTCAGTCTGGCTTTTATTTCCAGCTCCGAGGGCTCTTCAGATTAGATGTGGGTCACTAGCAGAAGGGAGGGGAGTTGATGTAATCCTTAAGCCATCTCTGTGGGGGGAAAGGACACCACATGCTGAAGTGATGCAAGGTGCCCTGGAAATTAGCTTCTGGGTGGGGGGGGGGCACTGGGTATGAGACTCAGGGTGTGATTGTTATGGTGAATAGTCAGTCCTCGCCAGATGAAGAAACTGAAGGTGATGATGGTGTGTTGGGAGGACGTGTTTCCTGTCCGAGTTTGATAACTTTGAAGGGTGGTTATGTTTGACACCTTATTATTGGCTTAAATATTGGCTCATATTTAATGAAAAGTGTGCATGAAACTGCATGAAATGGAGGCTTTGCTTGTACATTTAGGATGAAGGAGAGTCTGTATATAGGGGAAGCTTACTGAACTCATGGTGGCGGTGACCGCTACGATGTTGTGATGTCGATGGTCATACGACTGCTGGCAGTATGGATTTGGATTGTAGGGGTTGTGTGATGATGGGTGTCCCTGGGTTTGACCTTTGCTTCTGTTCCTCCACAGAGAGCCCGGTGAGGAGTGCAATGGGATCCACAGTGCTCTCCCAGTGGAGTCCGTGCCGGAGTCGAGACTGAACGAGTGGGGTCCCCCTGTCCCCGCACACGTTCCCCCGCCCCTCCCTGCTGGCATGGGGGACGGCCTGGACGGTGCCCAGATGTCCGGGGGCAGCAGCAGCCATGGGCAGCCCTCGGCCCAGTCCTCTACCTTCAACCCCCCACCCCCCGAGACAACGAACTCCAACCGACCCAAGCGGCAGACCAACCAGCTTCAGTACCTGCTGAAGACGGTGCTGAAGTCGCTCTGGAAGCACCAGTTCTCCTGGCCCTTCCAGCAGCCTGTCGATGCTGACAAGCTCAATCTCCCGGTGAGTCCTACAGACCCCACTCCTGCTTGGGAGAACGAAACCCTCGTGAAAGACACCCTGACGAAAGCATACCGACATTTATTTGAACAAGTCAATAATTTAGTCCCTAGAAGGTTTTTTTGGGTCATAATTTTTATGAAAGCGGGAAAGTGATTTGCTTGGCGATCTAATTACCACATTCCATTATCTCAAATCATATTCGAGAACGTCCATTGCTGATGAATCACCAAGCAGCTGTGTGTGTATTTTAAGATGCTGAGGGTTTTGAACCTTATAATTTTTTATTTTTTGGGAGGGAAAATCTTAGTCTGGCAAATACCTAATGATTGCTATGTATTGTCTTGCTAAAATGTATGAAACATTGATATTAATTTGATCCATATATAGTTTCGGTTGTTCAGATGCTAATATTAATGAAAACCTTGGCATCGCTGGCTAATGAAGCAGCGGTTAAAGGTCGGGTCTCTGTATTGGCGGGGATCCTGGTGGGCTTCTATCCATTCAGGTGTCTAACCGATGGCTGAGACACGTCCAGAAACTTCGGTGTGTTTAAATCATGACCTTAAATGCCAGGGTCTCTCTCTCAACTCGTATGTTGCCTGTGTTCTTGGCCGCTGTAATGCAAAGCTAACGAATGTGAACTTCTCTCTTGTTCAGGACTATTATAAGATCATTAAATGTCCTATGGACATGGGAACCATTAAGAGACGGCTGGAGAACAGCTACTACTTGAACGCCCAAGAATGTATCCAAGACTTCAACACCATGTTTACCAACTGCTACATCTACAACAAGGTATGGCGCCCCTGCTGGGTTCTGAGGTGCTGTGTCGTCTTGGTGGAAGTGTCAAGACTTCAAGAGATGTTAGGGCGTGATGGTGTTGCAGGTTCAAATTTAGAATGGAGTGCTGTGTGGCTGCTAGTTTGACTATTCTTCTGCTTTTCCTTGGGTTTATTCATTTATTTACATAACTCAGGAAATGCAAGAGTATATGTGCACCTGCTCCCATTCTTGGTAAGCAGGATATTTTCTCACTTAGCTTAAGGAATTTGGTTTGTTAAAGCTGGTAGGAATTGTGCCGTTTTGTGAGGCTTTGGTTCCGCGGCTCGTCCGACCGCGAAGTATATGGAGGAGAACCCATGTGGCTTGGAGGTGAGATCCACCTTCGCCTCCCGCATGTTATCCAGGCCGGTCACCTGCTCCTACGTGCAGGAGTGACACACTTAGCGCTGGTAGGGAGCGGAGCAGGATCTGTGTCAGAGCCTGTAAACTGGGGCACGCAGGATGGAAAAGCATGCGGCCGATTGATGACAATCAGGCATGCAAAGAGGACTCGGGAGAGCAGAATATTTTTAAGCGAGATGTATTTTCATACAACTTGCAACTTACACAGCGGTTTGGGGGGGAAGAAACAGCCGGATATATCTGTCGCAGGCAGCCACAGCTTGTGAGACCTGAATCTGTAGTATTTGGAAAAGAGAACATCTGCTTGGGATTGATTCAGCTGTGGAGCTTGTTTGAACTCCTGGTCCTTGCACATTGGCTGCCCATATTGACCTTAGCGAGAAATATCCCGTCTGGCGTTTCTCTGCTCTCGCCCTGAAAAGTCTCGGGTCGGCCTTGTGGATGAGATGCTGTATCCTAAACGACCCCATTGCATTCTCTGTGGAGCTGTTTTCCAAGGTCCGGATGCCGCTAATGGTTTCTATAAGCAAGAGTGGTCTGAAAGTCTTGAATTAGCTTTAATGGGATTTTTAAAAAGTTCTTTTTGGCCAAACAAAGAGAAGTGTGATTGTGTATCGATGTGCTTCTAGTGCTCGGTGCACGACCCGATGTGGACATGCGTGACCGGAGTCTCTGTGCCCACAGCCCGGAGACGACATTGTCTTAATGGCCGAGGCTTTGGAGAAGATGTTCCTGCAGAAAATCTCCGAGATGCCCCAGGATGAGATGGAGATCACAGTCATGACGGGCAAAGGGCGTGGCCGGGGGCGCAGGGATGGAGGTAGGGAGCTGGGCGTAGTACACTGTGCTGTCACATGGGGGCACTGTTCGGCTGAACGGCAGTGCATTTCTTTCTGGTATTCTTGGCTTTCAGAGATCTCTGTGAAACCGATCCTCTCTGTTTCCTTCTAGGCCTGAGCGTGAAGCCTGGCTCCGCCCTGGACTCGCCCTCCTCCACCCCCCACACACGCGCCCTGTCTGCCCCGACTGTAGCGCCACAGACGAGGGGACCGCCCGCCCCGCCCCCTCCCCCAGCTATGCCCCGCGTCCCTCCCACCCTCAACACGCTCGCGCCTCCGCCAGGGCCACCCTACTCTCTGCCACCCCACTCTCTCCCACCTCACTCTCTGCCGCCCCACTCTCTGCCGCCCCACTCTCTCCCACCTCACTCTCTCCCACCTCACTCTCTGCCACCCCACTCTCTGCCACCCCACTCTCTGCCACCCCACTCTCTGCCACCCCACTCTCTGCCACCCCACTCTCTGCCGCCCCACTCTCTGCCGCCCCACTCTCTGCCGCCCCATTCTCTGCCACCCCACTCTCTGCCACCCCCTGATTGCATAAGCCAGGCTCCCATCATGACCTCGGTGCCCCCTCTGGCCCAGACCACCCTGCCCCTCATGTCCCTCCCTCAGGCAGCAGCTCCGCCCCTTACGAAAGTGAGTGTAATGGGAGGGATGGCTTCAGTAAGGACAGCAAACCTCTGCCTCCATGCTAACAAGCCTCCTCCCCCCGCCCCCACGCAGCAGAGGAAGAGCCAGAAGAGAAAAGCAGACACGACCACGCCCACGGCCAACGACCAGCTGAGCGAGTCCTCACCCGCCGCTTCTGAGCCCAAGTCCGGCAAGTCGCTGCCACGCCGCGAGAGCAGCCGGCCGGCCAAGCAGCCCAAGAAGGAGGCACCGGACTCCCAGCACCATCTGGGCGTGGGCATAGGTGCGGCCCTGGGTGCGGGTGGGGCCCCGGGCCCCAAGCAGCAGGAGCAGCTGCGGTACTGCGCCGGCATCATCAGAGACATGCTGTCCAAGAAGCACGCAGCCTACGCCTGGCCCTTCTACAAGCCCGTGGATGTGGAATCGCTGGGGCTGCACGACTACTACGACATCATCAAGCACCCCATGGACCTGGGCACCATCAAGGTGAGAGCCTCAGGGGTGACGTGTAACCGCATGCTGGCACGGCAGCACCAGTTCCCCGGGGTCGTCATATCTAGGGTGTGTGGAGAATACATTCTGGGGGCCAGGGAGGCTTCTGTAGCGCTGGGGTTAAGCTCCGCTCTCCATCCCGTTCCCCCATCCCAGTCAAAGCTGGACAGCAGGCAGTACAGGGATGCACAGGAGTTCGCAGCTGATGTACGGCTGATGTTCTCCAACTGCTACAAGTACAACCCGCCGGACCACGAGGTGGTGAGCATGGCCCGCAAACTGCAGGTGAGCGTGCTGCCCTCAGAAGGGCTCTACGGTGTGTGTTAATAGTACCAGTCAAAAATCTGGACACACCTGCTTTTATTGCATTTTAGCTATGTTATTCGCCTTACGGTAAAAGACCTCGAGGCAGTGAGGTATATTGCAATGACCGAGAATTTTCTTAAATTTTAAACAATTCAGAATAGCTCCCTTTTGCTTCGATGACAGCATTGCAGAATCTTGCCATTCTTTCAGCCAGCTTCCAGATGTAGCCACCTGGAATGCTTCTCCAGCAGCCCTGAAGGTGTTTTCACAAGTTTTGAGCACAATTTGGCTACTTCGCTCTTGCTCTTTGAAGCAACTCATCCCAAACCAGCTCTGTGGGGTTTAAGTCGGGGGGTTTTGGGGGCCAGGTCATCTGTCACAGCACTCTCCGTCTCTGTCCTTATTCACAAGATAATACAGTACTTGCATAACCCCAAGATATGCTTAGGGCTGTTATCTTGTTGGAAAAACAAATAATATTCAGTAGGTGTGCCCAGAGTTTTGACTGGTGCAGTATATGTGTATGTAGATTTGCACATTTAATATTCTGCCTCACGTATTCCTCGTAACCACACCTCCTTCTTCCACGCTCACTATCCCCCTTCCCCCTAGGACGTCTTCGAAATGCGATTCGCCAAAATGCCGGATGAACCCGAGGAGCCCTCAGCCACCACGCACTCGCACGGGCTTCTCTCCGCCCCCGTCAAGCAGCAGCCACCGCCGGCACCACCTTCCTCCTCCGACAGCTCCAGTGATTCCTCCTCCGAGTCGGAATCCTCCACAGACGACTCCGAGGAGGAGCGGGCCCAGAGGCTGGCTGAGCTCCAGGAGCAGGTGGGAAGATTTGATCCCCCATTTTTTTTATTTTATTTTTTTTTGACAGCTGATTGGCTGACATTTTGATTGACGGACAGTCTGACCTATCAACCTGTTAAGCCACCAGTTGAAGTGTATTTTGTTAGGCAAGGAGGGGCAAAAAAAAAACTGCCATTTTGTTTGGAAGTTCACAGTCCCCCTCAAGGTCTTTGTGTTTAGGATCTCTCTGCTATTTTCGTTTTAGAATGCAGGGGGTGGGGTGGCGGTTGTATGGTTGTTAGAGTCAGATTAGGCTGGTTGTGTCTGCGATCATGGCTCACACTGA